TCGGGGCAGATCAGTCTGCATGAGGGTTAGAGCAAAGATGGCAAATCTGTATAGATGATTGTCATCACTTGAACAGGTATCCCCCGAGGGAAGAAAGCTTAAATGCTGAAGATACACATAGTAACACAGTTCATGCCATATCAAGTCTCAGAAAGCTCCACTTCAATAACTTTTGTCAAGACAATACTTGTAATCCGTGGGAAGTTGGCAACATAGATCTGCAACTTAATCAATACAATAATAGCATTCATACAATCTAACTGCTTGTTGAACCATACATTTTTCAACCCTGAATAACTCACCAAGTTTGTACATGTATGCTGATCATGTAGCACTGTTCTGTTATATTTTCTCTAAAATTGTATAATAACTTTATACCAGACTTGTGTCGGCTAACACATAAACAGTTTTAGCTAGTTTTTATGATTAAAAAGTAAAAAAATAAAAGTTACTATGTATTGTAATGAGTTAATAAAATTCATTCAACAACTAAAATAAAATTTGTTTTGTTGATGTAACAAAGAATTCACAAAAAGAAATCTTTTAAATGCTAAACTAATAATAGTTTTATGTGGGTTGAAACCAAACTAATGAAATTATTTGCATTGTGCCAACGCAATCATTGGTTTCGGAATACACATGTATTAATGAAACAAACAACATGCAATGGTGATTATTTGTGTAAAACAATAGCTTTCATTTAGTTACTACTGTTTTGATCTGTAGTTCGTAAATAACAAATGTTTCAGAGAATTTTGTTATACGGTGTAGGTGAATGTCACCACAACCAAAGTTGTCACTGTCAAGTACATTGCTTCTACCTACACTTGTGATAATCTGATCATCTTAAATGCTGAGGATAGCCACCTATGTGTCATTTGGATTATCACATTGTATATTTATCTTGAATAACCACTTAATCATATTCAATATTCCAATATGTTTCATATAAACTTCACCTACACAGTTGTACTGTGTCACATTGTGGCTTGAATGACCACCTGTGGCAGTCAGCCATATTTACCATACGTGTCATATGAACTTCACCTACACGATTGTACTGTGTCACATTGTGGCTTGAATGACCACCTGTGGCAGTCAGCCATATTTACTATATGTGTCATATAAAATTGGTTGCACTGTGTCAAATTAAAATAGCAGTTTGAGTTCACCTTTATAGATTTGTATTCTCATAAAATAATTGTTTTTTGATGTACTGCAGTGTTTGTTTGTTTGTTGCATGTTGGCCTCAGATGCATGTAGGGGAAGTTTGTGGGAGTATCACTGCTTTATTTGAGTGTACAGCATGGCCCATATGGCATTTGACCTTTGAAACAAATTATTTACTATACTTACATATTTCTCTTTAATGTTAACTGAACTTCTAAATTTAGTAGGTGTTTGACCTACATATGGGTTAATGTTTACTTCAACCATGGACCATTGGTTTATATTTCAAGTACATGTCTGCTTGTACTGGTACTTGTTTTACAACTCAGCTTCTACCACTTGATATTCTCTCACATACATATATATCAATTAAGTCTCGCTACAGACCCATATAAAATTCAGCTTAAAATATAAAATATATAAGAGAGGAGCTGCTTATTTATTTCTTCAGAAGTATTGGGGTCAGTGGTATTTATTCCTGTATGCATAACATGTCTTTGATTTTTCTGCCTGTACATGTACACTAATATACGTGTATGTGCCTGTTCCTTTAAGACTATGATCTTGTTTCTTGATGCATGTCTATTCAATACACTATTAAATTAATTTTAATTATTTATAAAATCCCTTTCATGCTTTTAATTTTGTTCTCTTCTGCATACCCAAGTTCCTTTAAAGCTTTATTTGATTAATGAATATTCGTTTACAGTAATTTAGTATTTTCTATACAATTTGACTATCCATAAAACCTGGTGACAGGTCATGTGTGCATTATTGACAGTGTTAGTTATTTTTCATTAGTTGGTGCTATTATTGGTCAGTCTTGTATAAGCTTAGATGAACTTGATGTGAACTGCATCTATAATTAATAAATAAGGCAAATATTTCTCACGTCAAACAACATAATATTTGAGCTGGTTAGAGTTTATACTTGAGTAATATAAAATTTTAACTATATATATATGATATCATAGCCTTAACAAAATAGCCTTAACAAAAATATGACAAATTGCTAAGCTGCCAGTGTTTTTCAACAAATTCTAAATAAATTAAATAATTATTTGACCAAGCGCTATAACGCAACATCAGTTGACACATAACCTGCTGTCTTAGCATCCATGGATATGAATGGTTTATAATGACGTAAGCAGGCAATTTATTAATTAAGAATATTTAGTCTGCAATGTCAAATTTTTAATTATAATATGATCAAATTGTGTAATTCCAGAACCCAACCACTATTACAATTTGTAAATGTACTGATTGCCCATCCCATTCATACCTTGTACCCCTATCTAAGACAAAGTACTCCATTCTACTCAGCTGTGTATGATTTAATGAGAACATTGGCCTCTCAGCCATATTACATAATACACAGTAACTTAAGGGGTTCACTTTGTTAGAATGCCGGAAGCCCAATGTGAGGGTTTCTTTTGTGTTGAGTCTCCACTGTGACTTGATGACTGTATATATATCGGGTAACGCCAGGAACTGTTGAACATTTGGATATGTATCATCACAATGAAGGCAATGACTTCTGAATGTACAATAGTATTGGAAAAGGGTTACTATATCTCGGCCATCTCCACGGACATGAAGGGTGATATTAACTGCATTACTAGCAAAGAAGAATTCAGAGTAAGATTTTAATTTGAAGATCATTTCATTTTTCAGTGAAACTATATTTAGGATTTTATCAGTCAGGGTATGATATGTTGCATTTGTTGTTTTCATAACTGAAAATCTTGTATACTTATTTGTCACACAGACTTTCTTTCAATAACTTAGTAATTATATTGTCATAATGTGCATGTAAATTTCTTAAATGTATTTTAACAGAGTCTAGTGACAGAATGATACACTGCTCATATTACATCGTTGAACTTTGAACACTGTTTTGATCCTTGGTTGATGTAATAATGTATTGTTTTCTGAATAACTGGCTACCTTATTTCAACTTCATTTTCTACCATGGTTGAGTAGTTTTATAGGTGTGACTAATGTACACAGTCTTACCTGCTACTGACGTTGTTGAATATCCGCTACTATACTATTAAACCAATAGGATAGTCATTGTCCTTCTTGCAACGTCAATGAATGTACGTCAAAGCAAGATCTTCAAAGAGTTCTTGAAGTCAGCTGTTTACACATTAGGCTCTATTGTTAAATAGGTCTAGTACTTACATAAGTGTAATTTTATTCCAATTACTACTCTCTTTGTGCCTTTTCTGAAAATTCTGCGTAGTTCCAGTTGATACATGTCAACTATATGCGAATATTTATTATGGTTTAAAATCATGCGAATTGGGGTTTAATTTAATGTAACATTTCAATTTACAATTCTTGTGAATGGTGTGGTACAAATTAGAATCACACATGACATCGATGGGGTTTAATTTTATGTAACATTTCAATTTACAATTCTTGTGAATGGTGTGGTACAAATTAGAATCACACATGACATCGATGGGATTTAATTTAATGTCACAAGCATTTCAATTCACGATTGTTGTGAGTGGTGTGCTACAAATTAAAATCACACAGCATGACACTAATATTATGTCAAGCATGCTATGAATTCAAGCTGTGATTTGCCTGTCTGATAGATTTCTATGCTTAATAGTGCATTTCAATACCTACATACAATCAGTTCAACAGGGACTGTGATAAAATGAATTCAAACTGACTGTCTGATAGATTTCTATTTCTAATAGTGAACGTCAACACCCACATACAATCATTATTACGTAATTTTTACCATAATAATAAAAGGAATTTTCTATTTTAGTTTCAATTGTACAAGACAGCTTTTGAAAATAATTAAATTAATATTACAAGACAACAAAAATAATTAAATGAATATTACAGAACAAACAAACATTGCACACCACTGTAAGTTCTGTTTAATTATGGTACACTACAAATGCTGTATTTTATGCAATGATGGTTGATTATTTTTGATTTTTATATGTAATTCTAAAATGTCTAATGGAAAATAAGACAAACTGAATTATGTAATAATTCCACGTTATGCATAATCTGAAACTTCTTTTCATCTAAGCTTTTGTCTTCATCTGTGAAGTGAAGGGTTGATATTGTAATGGTCACACAGTCAAGGGTTGATATTGTAACTGTTACACAGTGGAGAGTTGATTTTGTAACAGTTACACAGTCAAGGGTTGATATTGTAACTGTTACACAGTGGAGAGTTGATTTTGTAACGGTCACACAGTCAAGGGTTGATATTGTAACTGTTACACAGTGGAGAGTTGATTTTGTAACGGTTACAGTGGAGAGTTGATTTTGTAACCTTACACAGTGAAGAGTTGATATTGTAATGGTTACAGTGGAGAGTTGATTTTGTAACGTTACACAGTGAAGAGTTGATATTGTAACGGTTACACAGTGGAGAGTTGATTTTGTAACATTACACAGTGAAGAGTTGATATTGTAACGATTACACAGTGAAGGGTTGATATCCACAAAAACTAAATACATTCTTTGTTTGTTTACAGTCAAGTTCATGGCGCAAAATACGTAATATGGTACACTGGTCACCATTCATACAGTCATTTAAAAAGAAATACCCATGGGTTCAATTAGCCGGTCACCAAGGTATGTATGGCAGTTTATTGTGTTCATTGACCTGTCACATCAGTTGTTTTTGCTAACAATCATGCGCTCTTACATGTGTATTACAAAATACATTGTTTTATTAATCTGGACACAAACAATACCATTGTTTTGCCTGTGAATGACCTTTAGACACTGTCATTACAAAAAAAGTACACAAGTACATTAGCTCCCCCCCCCCGACCTCCGCTCAATTCTCGATTCCACAAATCAGTGTGTGTGTGAACTCCTTTTATCTATTTACCTGGACTGATCTACTGATCTTCAACATTTGTTTGTTCATTCATCCTGTCTACATTTTCTCTCTGGAACTTCCTAGTAAAACCATGTTCTGTATTCTGTAGGTAATTTCAAAGCTGGTGACTTTGGTACTGTTCTAAAGAAACACTGCCCTAGAGAACAGAGGTGTCTTTTGTCTCTGATGACAGATATACTTAGACCTTATATACCTGAGTACAAAGGTGAAGTCGACAAGAATGGAGAAAGTATCCTTTTTTGTTCAATTGTGGTATATGTTATCTTCATATGCTTAGACTGCATAATACAAGAAGCATAATATACAGTTTAGATAATAAATAAGCAACTGATTTAGGACTCGTCTAGATAAATTTTCATTACTGACAACATACCAGTATCTACTAAACAATTATTTGTAGGATTCTGAGTTGCTTCTTTGTATATGCACTCAACATTATCAAATGAATACTGTGTAAAATGTTTGCACATAGGCTGATTGTTATTTTCAATTTGTTGTGACAACCAGGTCATCAATTTGAAATAACCAAGCAATATTTATTTTTACATTTCTGAAATCTGGCTTGTTATGGCTTTTTCCTGTACTGACTGATAGTAAATGAGGGTTATCTAAACAAATAGTTTGTCAGAAATATAACATGGCAAGTGACATCATAACATAGCAAGTGACATCATAACATAGCAAGTGACATCATAACATAGCAAGTGACATCATAGCATAGCAAGGGACATCATAACATAGCAAGTGACATCATAACATAGCAAGTGACATCATAACATAGCAAGGGACATCATAGCATAGCAAGGGACATCATAGCATAGCAAGGGACATCATAGCATAGCAAGTGACATCATAGCATAGCAAATGACATCATAACATAGCAAGTGACATAACATAGCAAGTGACATCATAGCATAGCAAGGGACATCATAGCATAGCAAGTGACATCATAGCATAGCAAGAGACATAGCATAGCAAGTGACATCATAACATAGCAAGT